GGACTGGATGGCCCTTGTGGTCTCTTCCAACTCTATGATTCTGCCACACCAAGGAGTGCTTTTCGCCTTTGCCTCTTGTCACTGCCTTCGCACTGGGTCCCTGTTCCAGCAATGACCTGTATATAAGTCAACCCAGTTTTGGGGGGGTTGAGTTTTTGTCAAATATATATATATATATATACACCATACACGAATACATACTGTAGTAGTTAGAGATCCACCCATGTTGGTGGAAGTGTAGTCATAGCAACTTTCAGTAAAAAAAAGATCCCACCTAGACTGGCAGAACTACAAATAGAGTTGCTAAGTTGCAGTTTCCAGATACTGCTATCTCCCTCCACTTATCTCTAAAGACCAAACTAGATATTACATGGGAGCTGTGTCCTCTAACTGTATGTCCAGATGGCATTTTTTAAAATTAAAAAACTAGCCACTCAGAACTGACCAGACACAGGAAAAAGCTTAACCCTTTCCCTGTCAGCTGGGTTTTATACAACCTGTTTTATGATTGCCTATCTGTGAGTCAAAAGCACAGGCACAGTCTTCTAAGTGGAAAACAAAAGAAAGCAAAATATCAAGCAGCTCCTCAATCCTATAATTCCTTTACTCCTAACTGTAACCTCTTATTTACTTTTCATTTATGATCTTTGGGACACATGTGTGTCTGTGTGTGTGTTGTGTACTTTCAAGTCATTTCCAACTTATGGCGACCCTAAGGCAAACCTATCAAGGGTTTTTCTTGGCAAGAGTTATTCAGAGGTGGTTTGCCATTGCCTTCCCCTGAGGCTGAGAGAGTGTGAGTTGCCCAAGATTACCCAGTATGTTTCCATGTCTGAGCCAGTATTCGAACCTAGGACTCCAGAGTCATAGTCCAATACTCAAATCACTACACCACACTGGCTCACTTGGGACACTTACACCTACCTATATTCTGAACCTCAGTTTGGGTCTTACAGAATAGGCCAGCTACTCAAGGGGAAGAATTTTGAGAAAGATGGCAAGAAAGGGAATCAACATTTGACATAAACTGTACTTAAATGGGGCAAACCTTATCTCTATTAAGTGAGACATACAAAACTTGTATAGTCTTTCTATTTCATCTTAAGCTTACAACTTGTAAACCAGGTATAGATGGCAACTAAAATCTTTAACCAAATGAATTAGCTATCACTCATCTATCAACAAAACACATAATTTAAAGTTATTCTCGTTCCTCCTTACAAATCTTAATAATCAACATAACATAGGAGAATCTTTTTAAAGCTGTGAAAATATTCAGAACAGCACACTCATGTATTCATTTGATCCATTTACTTTTGTAAATATACTTAGAGCAGAGCAAAAGAGACAAGCCTGTTAACAAAAATTAATTTTGTACAGAGGAATAAGAAAAAATAATATTGGGATTCTTCTGAGACACACTCCAGTCTAGGCCTGTTATATCTGCCTTCACTTTTGCTGCAGGGAAAGCCATTCAAGGCATGTTAAAGCAGATAAATTCCAAGCAACACATGCAAGAGAACACAGTATTAAACAGACACACACACACAAATATTTGCTACATTGGGCAAACCAGCTACAAGGAAGATGTTATTCATACAAGTCATGATGCTTTTAGTGGACTTATGACAATTTAAAAGTTTCTTAACAAATAAGCCAATAGTCTAGAATTGGAATGACATTATGCCAACATGACAAGAAGACTGAAGTACACACAGATTAAGTCATGGTGGATGTTTAGCCTTTCCTCTAATGTAGGGCTAATCCAGCTGTTCTTTGTTTATTCAAAAGACTTTTAGCACACTCTTCTCAAAGAGGTTCAGTGTCTCTGCAAAATTTCACAACTTTTTCTTGTATTTGTGCCTGTGATATCCAATCTAATGTTCTAGCAACTGAAGGTATGTTTCTTTAATTTTTCAGTTCACAGAGTTCTTCAAAGGGACAAATTAAGAAACTGAAACATTAAGAAACCTTTACTAGAACGTAGTAAGGTATTTTAAAGTGCTCCAGAACATGGACAGGCTGATCAAGAGGATCAGTTAAGGCAGCATCCAAGAGCCAAGCTATAATCCCACATAAACTGCAGCATGATGTAAAAGTTCCACTTAACACACTTGGTGTTCATAGCTGACAACATGTGATCCTATGTCAAAAGCCACAGAGCTGGCCATTTTCAACAAAATGCACTAATACACTCTCATCATACTGCAGTAAAGACTTTGTTGTTATTTCGTGTCTTCAGGTCGTGTCTGTCTTATGGCAACCCTAAGGTAAACTCACCATGGGGTTTTCTGGGGCTGAAAATATGTGACTTGTCCAGATCACCCAGTGGGTTTACATGACTGAACAGAGAATTTAACTCTGATCTCCGGTGTCATAGTACAATGCTCAAACCACTACACCACGCTGTCTCTCAAATATAAATAAAAAATGAACAAGCCTAGCTACTTTGTGTCTCAGGGAGAGTATGAGTCTGGCTTTTCCGTCTGCCCAGACAACTGGTCTTCAATCTTTTTTTACTCCAGAATCAATATGGGAAAGGATGTTTCCCCCACTAAAAAGAACTGCATATTTCCAAACAAGCAGTATTTGCTAATACGCATAGTCTGTGTAAAGAAACTAAAAAGGAAAAAAACTATCTGCCAAGTTTCATTATTATGGGAAAACAAACCAACATGTTTCAGTTTGGCACAGATAACAGTACAGGACCACAAACCTTCAGTTTTTTAAAAGCTATATATTCAAACTAAACAAAGAGGAACTTGCCTGGTTGGCTGGCTCCTGAGCCATGCTTCACATTCTCAAAGCTCTGTCTGCACTGCCGAATGTTTATATTTCAAGTGCATTCTAGTAACCGTATCTCCCTATCACTGTTGCATTCATAAACAACTCTAATAGGAAAGCAACTAGTTTCCAGCAAATGAACTATATACATCAACCCTCCTTCCAAAGAATGTGAGGATGTATCTGTTTCGTTTTAACTTTACAGATTCTAAATTTACTCTAGCCCAAGTTTTAACTTCCTGGTTAGGGGAGATTAAAACAACAACAACTATAAAGCCAAACAAATCTTCAGTAACTCAAATTCAGTCTTGTTTTATCAAAACTAAAGAAGTGAAGGGTGTGATGCTGAGGTACAGCCAGGCAACGCTATTAAAAGTGGTGTCAACCAGAATCATTTTGTTGAATTACTACCTAGAAAGTATCAACATGATTTGACTTGGCCTTGAGAAGATTAGAGAATGATATAATTGTTTCTTAAATTAAAGAGAGAGAAAAATACTGTAGACAAAACAAGATGCAACGGTTTCTACTAAAAAAGACCAAAATGAAGAATTGTGACAAGCGTCTAGGTGGCCTCTTGCCTGTTGTTGTTGTTGTTGTTGTGTGCCTTCAAGTCACCTCCAACTTAGCCACTTGGAAATAATTACAGCCTCAGACAATTGAGCAAGTAAATGTGTGTAAGATACTACCTTTTTTGCTCCCTTTTTACACTTAAATATCTAAACTATCCCTTTTTTCAGTTTATATTGTCTGGATGATTCTATACATCTGTCTGTCTCTGAGCTAAGAGCCCTAATTTGGATATGGACCCATATGGGAAAAGTTCTCCTACTGAAAGTATCCTACTTTATAGCAAGGTTGAACTAAAATACTCATAAATATGTTTGTGTCAGGATCCTGCCCGTAAAGGATTTTATGCCCTTCTCTGGCTTTTAAATTGCTGCCTACTGCCCATGTGGATGTTATTAGCACATAAAAGCAATTACTATTGTACACAAGTGCCTCAGATTCCCAATGCTTACATCATCAACAACACATTACACAAGAAGAACTCTTGAAAAATCTTAAAGACTAAAACAATTATTAATATGAGTAATGTATTTTGTTCTTTTTGATTAGCCTACAATGTGTATTTTGGATTTTGCTATGACTTATAAATTTATGGACTGAAGACTATTACATCATAATAAATGTATCTGTTTTTAAGGCACCACAAAACTTTTGCTGTTTTGATGCTAAGCCTTTGGAAACAGATTATAGTTTAAGTAGATCTGACATTTGAAAAACACAGTGTTTAAGACTGCAATCCTGACTTAGGTGTAAGCCCTACTGAACTCAATAGGGCATACTCCTGAAAAGCCAGATACAGATTGCATTATTAACAAAAAAAGTAAGAAAGCTAAATTTATTATTTACAATATACACTGATTATGCAATTTTAAATGTATTTACTTATAAAATACAGACAATGTCACATATGTGTGACACCAGTGTAATATTTTTTCCATTGAATCATAATCTTTTAAAACATAGCTCATTCATAAATTTATCTCCATACCTAATTGCATGTTTGTTTAGCTGCTTTTTTGTGGCACTTTTATTAAAATTAGGTTCCTTAATAACTTTTATCGCATTCATGTCACAGAATTTATTTTCTAACACAATTTAGACAATGTCTCCAAGAAGCTAAAAAAATCTAAATTTATCAGTACATTACTCCTTAACATCTCCAGGAGCTTAGAATTCACAAAAAAAAGTTGTAGTTTTAGTTAACATGTCGGCTGTACATAACATACTAACTGCCCTACTATAAAGAGGCTAAGCAGAATAGCTTTTTAATTAGTCATCTAAGCAAGGTTATAAACAGGTTTCAGGGTTTATCTCCACAAAAAATATCTCCAATAACCCATTTAAATCAAGCAAGATACCAAAAACCTATCAAGAGGAATAGACAATGCATTACTGTCTGTTGTTATTAAATTATTATTGAATTATTTTTAAAAACCTGGATTTTAACCCAATCAAACAAAGAGAATGATTTAGAGTACACTTTATATAGCACTCGGTGCACAGTCATGGCTTAATATAAGTGCATTTACAAAATTAGCTACATGCATATCCAAGTACTGTATCTGGTTTCACAAGGCACATGAGAATAAGACACCGACATTTGTAGCCAAGAGAACCAATAAGACATGTACAGAAAAGCCTGCCCAAAGTTACACTCAGATTCAGATTAGCATGTCCAGGGGAAGGAAGGAAGGAAGATCTCAGTATTTTAAAATATCTCAATATTTTAAAGAATCTGAAAGAACTGAAAAGTATTTCCTTCACAGCAATATCACAAGCTATTAGTTACCCAGAAAACCATCTTACAATAAAGCTGCTATAGTAAAAGCACTCCTTCCCCCAGATAGAAATCATAATATGCTTTGCTGCTTAAACCACTTCAGCAGCAATCATATACCTTGACTTCACAAACTTCATGTCCAAATGGATATAAGAGCTTATCATCAAAGAAGGGGGGGGGGGAACCTACCAACCCAGCTGTCTGTTGGTGCAAACAGTCATATTTCCAATAGTTATTTTCCTACTAAACAAAATCTACAGTATGAAAAAGGATGGATGGAGGAGGGAGGAGATGAAGTTTATAGAGACGAACCTAAACACCAGCATGTCTCTCCTGAGAGTCCTCCTAATTCAGGACTCAAGCTCTCATTGCCAAACTCCAGCTCAGCTTTTAAGTCACCTTCGCTCTGGTTGCCTGCCAGTCCCAAGCGATGCCTCCACGTCCCATTTTAAGTCGGTTTGTTTCGTTTTATTATCCTGACGTGGAAATAGCTATTATTCCTCTCCCAAAACTGGAGCGAGTCAACTATTACCTCCAAGCGAGTCCCAAAGGGAAGCAGTCCTCCCCTGTAACAGGAGTCGACCACGCCTTCCTGCCGCCCAAGCAACTGCAAGAGGAGCACCGGGGTCGCATTTCTCCTTTCATATACACACACACACAAAGACACACACACAAAGACACACGGCTGCAGGGATCCTGAAAGGTTACTTTTACACAGGGACCGTTGGTCTCATCCAGCAGCACACACACAGCCATAAAAAAGTCTG